TTACAGTAATTTTGAAAAGGACGTTATCCTGTTATTGTGTATGATATTATGATTGTTGTCCTTATTATCTTGCTTAAAAGAACAAAAGTATTGAAAATCTTTATTAAGTTTGACCATATTAAATGCCACCGCTATATTATTCTTTCATTGTCCATTTATAGCAAAATAAGATTTATATATATATATATATATATATATATATATATATATATATATATATATATATATATATATATATATATATATATATATATATATATATATATATATATATGATGACACTATATTCCGGGATATCATCCGTTCGCTCGTTGAACTCCGACTGGAATCCTGCAGACGTTTCGCCAAAATCTCACTTGGCATCTTCAATGCTCGCGCTCCGAAAACACTTCGAACACTCGGAGCGCGAGCATTGAAGATGCCAAGTGAGATTTTGGCGAAACGTCTGCAGGATTCCAGTCGGATGCAAGATTTGCAGGATTCCAGTCGGATGCAGGATTCCAGTCGGAGTTCAACGAGCGAACGGATGATATCCCGGAATATAGTGTCATCACATTTTTATCCGTGAATCAATACGTGAGAATATATATATATATATATATATATATATATATATATATATATATATATATATATATATATATATATATATATATATATATATATATATATATATATATATATATATATATATATATATATATATATATATATATATATATATATATATATATATATATATATATATATATATATATATATATATATATATATATATATATATATATATATATATATATATATATATTAAAACAGCTTTGGAAAATTTTATTTTGACAAAACAATGGAGGAAACATCGACGTTTTAGCAATTGGACATTCGTATTCTTGTTTATATATATATATATATATATATATATATATATATATATATATATATATATATATATATATATATATATATATATATATATATATATATATATATATATATATATATATATATATATATAATGATAACATATTCCGGGATATCATCCGTTCGCTTGTTGAAGTCAGACTGGAATCCTGCAGACGTTCGAAGTGTTTTCGGAGCGCGAGCATTGAAGATGCCAAGTGAGATTTTGGCGAAACGTCTGCAGGATTCCAGTCGGAGTTCAACAAGCGAACGGATGATATCCCGGAGTATAGTGTCATCACATTTTTCCATCCGTGAATCAATACGTGAATATATATATATATATATATATATATATATATATATATATATATATATATATATATATATATATATTGATTCACGGATGGAAAAATGGAAAAAAATAAATATAGCAAGAAAAATCGGATTTTATGGCAACAAAATTTTGTGCTTGTGCTTCTAAAATACGCTTTCACTATTGAATAATCTCGATTTAATGTCAACAAATTAAATAATAGTTAACCCTCGAGAATTTCAACAATGGAACTAATTTTTGGCTTTTACTTTGTGGGAGACATAAAATGATTATCGTACGCACATAATGAAATAAAATTAGAAGAGGACGGGTAGGTCGGAGTAATTTTCGAAAATTGCCGATTAGTTGGACTGCGACAGGACAATGTATAATTAGTTTTAAATTCATTTCTGTCTAAGAAATGCTTCGCACAATGTATATCCATTTATCAAATATTTTTGGTATCGACTAAGGAAGCACATAGAAGTGTTTAAATTCTACTGTCTAATAGAATAATAAATATTTCTACAAAAAAAAGTACTTATTCTAAAACCAAATAAGTCATGCACATCTTTCTTTTTACATTGTTAAAAATTTACGATTTATCAAATGATTAATCAGTTAAGCCTAAAATAGAAAATACTCGATTTTCAAGGGTTCATAGCTTATGAATCTTTTTTTAAAATCAGACTCTAGAAACTGGCGTGTAGCAAATGTGCACTTGAGGATGTAAAACGCCTTTGGTTCTCAAATATTAATATATTAAATTAAATAAATTAAACATGTTTTTATTTCTGATCTTGTTTTACATTTAAACTAATAATTTATTTAAATTAATATTGAAATTTTCTTTGTCCAACCCTGTGATATATTGCGATTTATCAAAAATTATGTTAAACTTTATATGCCGGTACTACATTATATTATGTTATACAATACACTCCTGGACTGAAACAGTTTGAGTCAATCTCTGAAGGAGTCAACAGAATGATTGGCAAAACGGCAGCAAGTTCGACTCAGCAAAAACCGACGCAGGAGGAATCCAGAAGTTTTGTAAAAAGTATTACAGTAGCCTGTGGAAGTTTCTTAGAAAAATAAACAAGTGATTGATGCAATTAATGTGTTGCCTACTATACTCTTTCTACGATCATTAGTTTGTGGATATATTTTTGCAAAGCAGCGGAACATTGCGTGACGTTCGACGTGACCATCAGAACCGACGAATCTGGCTAAGATCTACCGAAAACATTGTATTGCTTTCAAACGCATGGCCAAAGTACTGAAGCGGTTCGAGGCAGTGGTTAACGAAGCTGGGGTATTAAACTTTGAGCACGCTTGATTAGTGCATAATTGGGTATTTTAGGAGGGATTAGAAAATAATGTATTATTCAACCTCTTTGATAAACTCCATTTTAATAGTTTATCAATATGTTGAGTGCCATAACGTTTCCTACTACCATTTGTTTTTGGATACATTTTTTTGCAAAATAGCACCAATACATTCACTGAGTGATGTGACAAATGTCAAAATACTAATGACTAAAATCCACCTGAACCCTACCGTGGGTAATGAAGAGGATGTTTTAAAGTGGCACTTTCCGCACCGTTTATCCTTGAATAATTGGGCAGCTAGAAAATACGTGTCGGCAGGAAGAAATTTTGGGTGTTTTATTTCATGCCAACTCGGAAGTTGCTTGTAATCTCTATTTGTTTTGGTTTTATTTTTTTAAAATGATATTTAAAGCACTGGTGTTTTCATTTGTACAATTTGTTATCATTTTTCCTCTATTTTTTGAATATATCACATCGTAACTCCAGTTGCTTTACAATAGCTGTACAGTGTCTTTGCATTAATCACTTGAAAGGAAATTTGAAAGGAAAATTTTTATTTTTTGATCAAAAATAGTGCTATTTGAGAAAAAATGTGGCAATGGATCCTTATCAGGAATCACTTAAAACCTACCTAGTTTCAAGGTTCCAGAATAGAGAGCGTTTGAGAAAAACATACAATAATTTTCTTACTCATCAAATAGAGATGTTCGGATGGCGATTTTTGCAAAAGAAGGTACACTAAAAAGAAAGAACAGTGAAAAAAAGGAGCTTATACAAAATAAACAACGAAAATCATTTTGTATTTTTTTTTTGTAAGTTGCAAAAAAAATAAAAATCATTCTTCTTACATTGTTTTTTTTTAAAATATGTTTCAGATTAGGTATAAAAAAACTGTAATTTTGGCAGGGGGTGCAAAAATGCGTAACATATAAAAAAAATGCTGAAATGAAAAATTTTTAAATTTCAGCTTAACGGTTTTTTATTGATACTACATCGGAATAATAAAATCAGACAAGAATCTGTCACTAGATTTTTCTACGAAAAAAAACCCTAATAGTAATTTTTGAAACAACAATTGATTACGGCCACAAATAAATATTTATAGGTCGCCGAATTCTCAATGTATCTATAAGAACTTTCATGAAGTAAATTATTTCAAAGACCGCTTCATCAAATACTATATTTTTTGAAATCGTAATAAAAAAAATATGTCGACTGTTTTTTCTATTTTTTCTTAATTTTGAGATGACCATTTTTTTTTAATTTTTTAAGAGAAATAGAAATGCAGAGCAAAATTAGATAACTTTTATAGACAATCATTGTGTACATTATGTATCGTCACTTAACAAATTATATTTGGTTGGAAACTGCTTTGACCAAATTTTTAAAGCTTTTTATTTATTTATTTTTTTTGCTTTATCGAGCAACATTCGGATTTCATTTTTTTTAACTTACTGGTATGAATGGACGTTTTTGGGTATATATTTTTAGCAGGAATGTGTGGACAGTGATCCCGCGCGGGTTGGTAGTGGGCCACAAAAAATTCCGTAAACGATTCAGGTAGGCAGGAGAAACGGTCCGCAGGAATCCAACTGGAATTTGTTCCGAAAATTGGCACAAAAATTAATTCGAGAAAAGGGTAGGTAATAACCGTGTGACGTTCGCCCGGTGTACTTTGACGAAATCGGATATTTAAAAGTCAAAACTTGTTGGTTGCCGATGTAATGTACACGAGCTATCATTATGACACCCACCCACCCTTACCATTGTTATCGGGTTCGCAGCATACGGGCTGTACGGCGTCGTCTTCGAAAAGTGTTACGTGGAGTCAAAAAGTCGTCCTCTTTTTCTGGGGGGTCAACCACCCCACCGAATAGAGTGCACGTGTATCCCCATTTTGAAGCATTTAACCAAACGGGCCTTGGCCGAAACCCACAAGTACACGCCCACCACCACTAAACTGGCCGACTGCTTGAGCCCTCGACGTAAGAACTCAAATCTAGTCGGCCAGATGTGGTGAAATCTCGCCTAAACGCCCGCTACACCCAATAAACAGTTGAACGTCTGGGCATCCACAATTCCCAAGGTTACCGCGACTGTGTGGTGGTGGTAGTCTCAGCACGGGCTGCGCGGGGCACGACTTGAGTTCTATTTAGTAACCCGAAGGGTGCGCACCACTTCAGTTCCAAAATCGCACCCCGCATCGACACCCCCATCCGAATTTAGTGCACTTTACTATTGTGTTTGCAAGTGAACAGTTAACTGAATAATGGCGTGTTCCGATCTACATGTGCTTAAATAAACAAATGCGAGACGTCAGGCCACAGCTCGCTGGGAATTTACAAGGACGTATTATTGCGTAAGTGATTTAAGTTTAAGATTTGCGCGCACACCCTGGATCACCGCGCATGACAGCGCTTATTTCAAATGCACAGTTGCGATTTTTGCCGACACCGATAATCGTTCCCTTTAATTTTCGTCGTTTACAAAGTAATTGGACAAATTCTGTGGGATACTCAATGCGCCGTTTATTAGAAACCGCAAACGGGATATTATTCGGCACGACACGGTGCGTAAAATAATCTTTTTGGGGTCAAACAAAAGTTATTTTAAAATAGCTTTAGATAACAGGCACAGGAAAGTGTTCATAACGGTGTGTTAATTTATGCGCCGGCATCACAGGGGAAACCGCGGTGATTGTGCGCCAGAAACCACAGAACACTAAAAACATTTCAAAGAGTTCGCGGTTCTTGTATACCCCGAACAACCCCGATATTTTCCGAGTCGGATTCACCCGACAGAGACGGAACATTTGCTGACATGGCGTCGTAAGAGTGTTGTGGTGTGAAGTTATCCTGTTCGGGGATTCAAGCCCTTTTGTTTTTTTCACGGTGACACGTTCGAAAAGGTAAACAAACGTAGTTTCTAGTGTTGGTGACGTCACTGTGTACATTTTCGCTCCGGTTTTGACATTAAAAACCCGGGAAATCCGTCAACGGGGTCGCCGACTGCGTTTACCCTAGCCTTAAAATCAATATATTTGTAATAATCAATATGCGAACCCCTATTCTGTACCAGCAGGAGTTCGGTCGACACCCACATTCGGCTTTACGACGCTTGTAGCATTAATATAACCATTATTGACACCGTATTTAGTCAATTATGAAAGAGTTGCGTAAACTGGCTTTTCTCCGCAGTAGGCGGGGTGGCCGCCGCTCGGCCGATGGACATGAAAAACGAATTAACTTAAAGATGGCGCGGTGCGTTGAAGGGTAAACGAAACTCGTGTAAATCCTGCTATTGCAGGAAACTTTGTCGTGTTCTATGGCCGCGCCGCATGTTTGCTTCGGCGTTGTTGATGGGTTCATGGTTCGAGAGCGGGGGAACTGTGATGTAATAATCTCCGAGTTCAAGAACAATTCTGCTTTTCTTCCATAATGTATACCTACCCACACGACAAATGTTATTTTGTTCCTGTGCTCGGCATTTTAAACACCTGTGTGAATCGCAGTCATGTCATGAAGGTCCTGCGTGACGCTACAATTATTTACGTCGCCAATTAAAAAAAAAGTTTCCAAGTATTTTTAAAGCGACCATTATTCGATTTATTGTTGAACGGTTTAATTTAAATAATTTTACAACAGTTACGATGGCGCCGTGCCGCTTTACCACTACACTTGACGCACGCGCAATGTACACGGCCACAATTTCACAAGTTGGCTGTGCTATACGTACCTACCTACCACGAGAGAGACTTGTTTTTTTTTATGACCGTGTTTTTTTATGTACCCGGTCGGCAAATTTAAGTATAAACGCACCTACCAACTTTTCAAGGTATAATTTCATTCATTTCGAGAATTTTTACCAAACGATTTCCATTTTGGTTATCTACACTCGATTTTTGAGTGGTCTATCGCTAGAATGCCATCGGAAATTTATCTTGAAAAAATGATAGGTACCCTTGTTATTTCATTATAAATTTCTTAGAAAAAAAATTATAGGAAGTTCGTAGCTTTCGTTTATACTTCTGTAACTACTGGAATATTTTTTGATGTATTGATAAGTTGTTACAAAACATGGGGCAAGTAGAGCTAAAAATAATGAAAAGATTATTAACGTAGCTTCCGATGCCGTAACCTATCTCTTACGTCTTGATATTACTGAACGAAAAATTAAAAAAAAATGTAAACTTATTTGATTCCTATGAACTATATTATATATTAGTATTTTCTCAAGAATTAGGGCATTGTCAAAAATATATATATATATTAAATTCGGTCTAGTTTTTCGGATATTTCCATAAATATGTGATTCGTTTGAAAAAAAGGACCAAAGTTCATATAAATGTGTGTCTGGAAATTAATTCCTTTCCAAGTACGAAGTGTACAATATTAAAAAAACCGTTTTACAATATGTTAAACATTTTTTTTTTCGATTTTGTTGACATTTGGCAACGGCATGATATAGGGCTTCACCCACATTAAAATCGTGAAGTCTAGTGCCGCCCGTGCGGATAGTATTGTTAAAGAGTCATTGATTTGTTTTCCAATGTTTGTAATTTACTTTGAATAAGCCAATAAATATACCACTCTTGAGTTGTTTGTGTATCTCGTCGAAAAAATAAAAATTATGAAAATTGACAATGCGTAGTTTTATGAACATTTGATCACAATAAACTTGATTCTAAAAAATTAACGCTAAAGAAAGTGACGAAAATGATAAAATGATAAGATAATTTTTAATTTTCTACATAAGTGGCTGTCCTGTAATCATCAATATAGTTAATTTATCATGTCATTACATTACATGTGCATATACAATTCTTTGTATTCTAAATTTTGAACCAAATTTTAAAATTCTATTTTAGTTTTTTTCCACGGTCCAGCGAACGTCAACTGTCATTATTAAAAAATCTTCGAAAAAACTACTTGTAACCAGAATTTGCAATCACCATTTATAATTACCGTTTTACTCAAGACTTTCTTGGAGGCAACCGCAAACTTGTTAATTACAGGAAAGTGCCATCATTTTCTTATTAGTTTGTTACTCTGATTATTCATTCTTCTCATGAAATCCCCCTTTCCCGACAGCACCTAAATAATCATTTCAATTAAAAAATTTGCTAATAGCTATAAAAATGTCATAAATTTAAATGACCTACAAAATACATCAGCATCATTGAAATAGTGTACAAAAATGGATGTTGATAAAAAAATGATTGTGTTAAATTGCAAGCTTAAAAAGGAGATAAATTTTAGAAAAAATCTAGGCTGGCATAAGTTTCGTCCTTAAATCATATAGCAATTTTTCGCAAAGTCAGAAACGTGGCAGTTATTTGTAATTTTGTTTCAACTAAAATTATTTATTTTTAAATAAATATAAACAAATGCTAACACCAAAATAGTTTGTCACATAATATAAAAAGTAGGTTAGACACAAAGGACCTTTTAACGGTTATAAAAATTCGTTTTAAAGATTTATTTTTTTTTCTAACTGGACAGTCCTGCGTAAAGGAAAAACTAAACTACCATTTCATCCAAATTGTATTGAATTAAATGAATTGACTTATTTTGGACGTTCAACACACTGCAAAGTTTTATAAATTTCTGCAACACTTCAAAGCGGCCCGTAGAGGGAATTAGCATCTCCATAAAATGTAAATGCAAACAATGTTTCACATTCCGGTTCGTGACACCCAGCAAGTTTAACTCAAGTACTGCATCTTATAGTAAATAACTTTTTCTAATTGCCCTTTGCTTTAGTTTTATAATTTTTGGCATAAAGAAATTATTTATTCTTGAAACTGTCAGAGAACTTGCGAATTAAAAATAATTTACTGCCGTTGAGTTATTTATTGCTTTTTTTGTTCCAGTGTTTCCCAAACCAAACAAAATTCCGCCTGATCCGCCCATGTCTGGTTTACCTTACCGGTATCCACCTCAATACAACCAGCCAAAACCGGCCGCCACCGCACCAGCCAGTATGTCAACTCAACGTTTCTGTCTAAGATGGAACAACCATCAGTCAAACCTTCTCTCAGTATTTGATCAACTACTTCACGACGAGAGTTTTGTGGACGTAACCTTAGCAGTTGAAGGCCAACTTCTGCGGGCTCACAAGATGGTACTTTCGGCTTGCAGTCCATATTTCCAGGCCCTATTCGTCAACCATCCTGACAAACACCCTATAGTTATATTAAAAGATGTTCCGTACAGCGACATGAAAAGTTTGCTAGACTTTATGTACAGGGGCGAAGTTAGTGTGGATCAAGATAGATTAACGCACTTTCTGAGGGTAGCGGAAAGTTTAAGAATCAAGGGCTTGACCGAAGTGAATGAAGAAAAATGTGATAATATTGCTTCCTCCCTTAGCCAACAGAATTCAAATCATGTGCCGAATTTACAAAGGATCCAGCAGAATAAAAGAATTGCCGGAAATTTCAATATGCTGGGCAATTATTTGATGCAACCAAAACGGAAACGAGGTAGGCCAAGAAGGTTGTCGGGAAATTCAAACGGAGACGATACTGATAATAAAGATTCTTTAGTGCAGGGTAGTCCAGAAATGTTGGAAGTTAAAATGGGTATGGATGGTTTTACTGGAAGTAATTCCGATGGGAGTACAGGAAAAGAAGAAGAAGATATAAAAGGAGTCAAAGAAGAACCAGAGGAACCCATAGCGGGTACTTCTAATGATACTAGGAGTGCAGAAGAAATTCAAGCCGGTAAGTGATTTTGCACCAAGTATTAAAACATTTCGTAAAGTGGTATTGTAAGGGTAAAATATTTTGAAAGTAAACAACAGTGAAATAAAATGTAAGGATGGCATACTTTCTATTTCAGTTCAAAAAACAAGTAACAAAGTACCTTGGTACCTACCCAATAATTGTAGAAAACTTATTTATTTTATAAATCATAAATCTTGTGGCTTTATTGCTGTTTTGCTCAATATTGAAGCTTTGGTTCTGGAATACTGAGTTGGGAAGAAAAGAAAATATGAAATAAACATTTATTTTTAGATATATTAGCTTATTTTAATGTCTATTACATTACTTCTGTTTTCTTTCCATCTTGATACCAAACATGAAACGCAAATGTGAGTAACTTTACATATCTTAAAGCGATAAATAACAATATTTCTTTTATTGTTTGTTTATGTGAATTGTATTTGGTATTAGTTACAAATATAGCTATTTAGCTATTTATGAGACCGAATCTTATTTCCGTTTTGGATTTGTGTTTTATGTGTTTGTACGATATTAATAAAAATTGTGTTTCCGATTAGTGAAGGGAAAAGCTATAGTGCTGTTTTGGTGAATTTAATTTGTGCAACAACACAATGGAAGGTGAGTTTTACTTTTATATAAGGTAGTAAGGGAATAGTTTAAGGAATGAGCCACTGTCTTACGATGTTATTTCACGATAATTATCAGCTGTCATATCATATTACATGAACATGTAAATAACCTTTATGGGCCCATTCCCTATAGCTTTTCCCTTAACTATTTACAATTTTTATTTGTTTTATTTTTTGGTGACAGGATTCTTGTGTATGCTAGGTCTTAAGATAGTTGGTTTCGCCTCAGAACAATTTCTTTAGTACGTAATTTTTATTTGTACTTGATGTCGTATTTGTTAATTTTTTAAGGAATAAAAGCAACTACATCCTTCTTATGGTCTACAGAACAACCATTAAATGAATTTCCAAAAAACTTTTAATAATAATAATGTACATTACTAACATAATCCTAATATATTAAACTCTTTATTGGTTGTTATTTGGCAAGCATTGAACAATGTAATTTTTTTAAGTAAATAATTCATTTTATATGCAAACTTAAATCCGGAAAATTTGGTGGTTTAAAACAAAATACCTTTCACATTTCTTAACCTAACTAGCATAGCTTAAAAAAAATTAATATATTTCAACTTGTTTTTATTAATATTTGAGATGAAAATGTTTTCTTTTTTTATTTTGCAGAGGCGAAGGAAGCTGTAGTCTTGCCAAATAACAACGTCCACTGCATCAACTTTAATTCCTCTTTGCATCAAGAATACACCTTGCCATATCAAGACGATAATAGTTCCGAACTGGACGTCGAGGAGAACGAGAGCAGTGTCCATGAAGTGGATTCAAGTTACGCGTCCGCAGTTGACAGACTAAACGCCAAAGTCACAAGCGACGACCCGGCAATCATGTGCGAAACTCTTAATTTGTCAAAGAAAAATAAGCAAGCAGTAATGGATTTGGATGAGTATATGAATTACGAAATCATTCTGGACGATCCTCAATATGAGGGCCCAGTGTGTAGGTATGTTAATTACTCCAAGAAAATCTGCGATCCAGATAAATCAGCCAGGGATTTTTGTGTTAGAGAAAAGGATAACTCGTACAGATGTACCGTTTGCGATAGAGTATATACGCACATAAGTAACTTCTGTCGTCATTTTATGACATCGCACAAGATAAATGTAAAAATGTATACTTGCCCGGTTTGCTGCAAAGATTTTACAAGGAAGGATAATATGCTTGCTCATTTAAAAATAATTCACAAACAAAACGATTTAAGTGCCTTAAAATGAAGACTTGTTAGGTAGGTATAGTAGAAGACTAGATACCAAATATTTTTATATTCATATTCAATTATAATGTGATTTATATTTTCGGGGATATTATGTTTTACATTGTTGAAATTTTCAACATAAGTAAATCAAATATTTGTTGCTCAATTGTGACTGAAGAAAATGACCTTAATTAATTTTGAGTTTTTTCGGATTGTTCGGAGTAAAATTTTAACCGGAGATCTTACCATTATCGGTACTTACTATTTTTTGCGTTTATTTAAAATACGCTGTATATTGTTGGTAATTTTTGATAAAAATTTTATAGGTATATATTTAAATCGACTGGGTTAGTTATGTGTGCCTCTTTATATAGTAACTGTTAGATTTGGGACTGGCGTGACATAAATATCTTGTGTAAACATGGAGAGCAAACATAGCCATTTTTACACTAGATGCTTTTTGTTGCATATTAGCTTCGTTGAAACTGTTTCTCTTTATTCATGCATCTCGCACTGTTTGCAAATGTTATCCCATTTTTAACAGCTTTATGGTTAGTTTAGATTAAACAAAGCTGATTTCAGGGCCGTACTCTAAAGTGCGTCTTGAATAATGGTTGTGTATCGGTATTTGAAGTCTTATTTTACTCCTGTACTATACTCGTAAAAAAAGTTAAGCCAAAATCCTTTCAGCTTGGATTTAGTGTTTTAAATTGTTAAATTGCTTAGGGATGCTTTTTGCGCATTAATAATTAACGGATTGTATTTTTTGTGCCTAGATTTAAACACACGCAGTCCGTAGTATTTGAATCTAGTAAATTAATATGTTGATTTGATATCGGCGTTGATCTGCAAAAAAAATATTCTCATGACTTTGGACCCTGCTAAATTAATAGCCTGATTGACTTAGGGGACGTCATGATTATATATAATTATTTAAGTTGACCTCAATTGATGTGCGCCTTATGTTTTTGTACGAATCGCCAATGTTTTAATAGTTAAAATTTGTACGACGCTTACGTTTACACTCGAGATGCATAAATGATGAGTACAGGTTTTTAACATTACACTTCTTCCAAAGATCATATTGTTAATTTTAATTAATATTTCTCTACCATTGTTAAATTCTATAAGTTATTAATTAATACGATATAGTTTATAAATGCTGGCAATAAATTGTTGTGTTAATATCTATTTTGTGCAATTTGAATTACTATTCTTGCCTTATACTTTTTGAATTTGCTCCTTTACAGCATAGAGTTCGGGATACATAAGGTAAATCGAAAGTTGCAATATTTAATTATTATATTTTGTTCCTTTGTGTCGTAATTTTGTATAGACTGTAGATAATTTATTTTGCACCATTATTGTTTACCTATTGTATGGTATGATGTAGAAATTTTCAACGTTATTTTGGTTTATATTTAGTTGAATAAAGCAAGTTTATTCGTGTTTGGTTTAATTTTTTTCCTTTGCTTTTTTTATTCCGTTATTTATTCATTTGGTTTATTGTGTTTAGCTTGCATGTTTACTATAGGTTTATTTACGCTATATGCACAATTTGTGCGGTATACACTATGTCTTTTCATTATATAATACCTACTTTTTGAAACAGTTTTTGCCCAGGTCTTAGAAACAATTTTGGTTGTTGGGAAACTAGATAATTTTAAATTGAACTTCCCAAACACGATCAGAGAGTTTCTGTGCCGGCAAACATGATTTTATGTGAAATGTACACTCTACTATCAGTTTTAATAGCTTCGTAGTTTGATAATGAATTCTTCCGTAATATTAATTATTGTCACCCTTGTTTTCTATTTTTTTACTTTACTTATTACTGCCGTCGACATAAAAAATATATTTTCAAGTCTATCTGAGAAAACTGCGTTTATGTATACGCAAAAACTTGTATTTTATCTCAGATTACAATCTTGTGTGTGACTTAATTTCATATAGCTCCATAGCATTTTTTTTAAAAGGTGATTTTACGTTATTGTAACGGTAATATTGTCCTTTATTGTGGGTGTGTAAACATTCACTGTAGCACAAGTTTCTGAAAACTAGAACATCACAACTGACTGTAAAGTAAAAGCGAATTCATATAGAGGGTGTCCCATGATTGCGGGGATTGGCCCTAGAAAAAAAATTTAATTTAGAAATTTGAACAGGTGCATTAGACGCATAACCAAAAATTATTAAATTATAAACACAGTTTTCTAAATATTTGCCGTTTTGGAAGAAATAAGTGAAAAATTGTAAAAAGTTGTGGTTGCAGAACTGTGATTTTTGGCAAAAGTTTTGTTGAAGCTACTATTAAACTGCTTAAAGAAATGAAGAAATTTCAATACATAATATCTCAAAACTTTTTAAACTATTTTTTTTAATTTCATGCTGTTTATAGTATCAAATGCTTCCGTTTCCGAGCTATTTAAAATTTTGTTTTACTTATTAATCTTTGTTATTAACAAATTGCTTCTTATAGAAAGAAGTTGTATGTACTCTTTTTTTGGTCCTTAGTTACTTTAGTCGGATAGTTACAATTTAAAGCACGAGGTTATTATATTATTATACTCATTGTCATGTCAATGTATAGACTACAAAAATGTGAATTGAAAAACTGGTGGCTATGTTTAACACTTAATTAAATTATTTTTTCTGTTGTTTACTCTAGAAATTAGTGATAAAAAAAATTAATTAATTTATATGTTTCCCCTCTTATGGCGCCCACTGATGTATAAGTCGTAGTTTCAGCAATTTCTGCCAAAAATCATAATTCTGCACTACAAAGCAAATCGCGCACAATATTTTTTAGAAGATGTTAAAAATCACATATCTATGGGACCTCTAATTGCCACTCTGTATATATCTATTTGCATAGTGTATATCGCCGGTACCTAATTTATATATTTTAGCAAAAGTCTACATTTTAGTGTTCATAATATATATCAATCACTATGTATATATACACCATTTTATACCATTTTACTCGTTTTTAGATTCAATGACGCCGCAACAACTGCTAACTCCTAAAATAGAAGTAGATGAAAATTTCGACTCCAACTCGGATCAACAGCCGACGCCCGAGTCCAGTCGGATGGGCACGCCGGACAGCGTTATCAACAATAACAACAACACGAGTACTCCATCCACGAGTACAGGGACCGGGACCCATACAATGAGCGCCCCGCCCAACAGGCCACCGCCGAAAAGGAGGATACGCCGTAGGGCGACATCTCAAAGTCAAGACCCGGCGGAACAGCTTACCGAAATGTCCGTAAGGGGTCTGAACTTATTTCGTTACGCGTCGATAAACGAAGGCGTTTATCAGTGCACGGAATGCGCCAAAGTCGACGTCACAAAGACATTTAAGAACAAGTATAGTTTTCAAAGGCACGCGTTCTTGTATCACGAAGGGCAACAGAGGAAAGTGTTCCCGTGTCCCGTTTGCCAGAAGGAATTCTCCCGGCCTGACAAAATGAAAAATCACATGAAAACAGTGCACGATTGTTTCATGCCTAAGGACGCGGTCGTGAACGACGTGGTGTTTCCGCCGATGGGTTTCTTCCCATCGATATGAATAACCGAGATTGAGCAATAGGTTCGATACATGTGGTGCTACTACTTTTGGGTCGACTGTAATCAAAATTTTATCAACAATTTATATAAAGTACAACAGTAGGACTAGTTTAAGGTATGTGATTAACCGGCTGCGATTCTGCGGTTAAAAATGGCCTTTAAGGTCTTTGTAATTAGTAGTTTTAGTCGATGGACCTTCCTGCTAAGCAGCGAGTAATCGAGCAACAATAACGTACTATACTTTTGGTTTAGAATTGAATTTTGCGTTCATTTCGTTATGGAATTAGCTAGGGGTCTTTAGGACGTGCTCCGCAATTTTCATATAAAAAGATTGGCTGTTCTTTGCATTGGAGTACCAGTCGCGGTTGCTCTGAGGTCGATTAGGGAAGCTTCCGGCCTTTTTGACTGATTTTATATTTCGCTCTTGATCGGCTGAATCTTTCAGTTTCAAACGGAATTGTATAATTATGTATTAAGTGCTATTAGAACCAGTCCAAAAGGTCTCTGTATATTTTGACAAAAATAAAAACAATCGCAGGGCACGAGTTTAAAATTAGAGTATAATTTTTATTTAAGATGTTCTTGTTACATAGCACAGACATTAGGGACAATAATATTAGTTGCAAATCATATATCGCCGCGTGGCGCACAAATCTATATACCACGTTTATTATTGAGGATAGTTAAACTTTTAATTTAGGTGTTGGGACAAGGAAAACAATAACCATTTACTTTCTGTTTTTTCTTTATTTTCAAAAGAGCCGTTGTAATTGTTATTTATTTTTATTTGCTCTAAGCTTTGTTTTTCTGTTGATTAATTCTACTTTAGAGTTTTAAGCGATCGGCAATTATTCTATCTATACAATAATCGTTTTTATAGATGTTTTCTTTTCTATATATTATATATCAGATTTTTAGCTTTCAAGGCTATGGATTTTCTTCCTGTAACTTTCTACATAGACTTGATATGGGATCAAAGATTTCAATTTTATGAAGAGATGGTTCAACTGAAAAACAATTATGTTCTAAAGGATATATAAACATAAGAAATGTCTTAAGTAGGAAAAACTAACCTACATTTCTGTTTAATGTAATAATTATTCTAATAAACAAATATACTGCACTTGAAAAACGAGTTAGAGCACAAAATAAGCAATCAAGCAAAATCCATTATTAAACAATGGTTGTGGCTAAAACCAAATTGTTGCATTTCTATTCTTGAAAATTTCTATAAATTAAATTTGAATTATCAATGTCATCAAAAGAATTTTTAATTAAAACCATTAGATTGTTGATAGCGTTCCTGTAGAGATTAAAACATTATCGCGAACGTATGTGTTACTGTAATTTTCCTTTGGCATTTGTTAAGGGTACGTTAAATTAAATGTATTAAATTTTCATTAATCTTTTCTCCAGAGAAATTTTTGAAAATTTTAGAGCCAAATAGATTTTATTTAATAATATTGTAACACAGTTGTGGAAATAGCGATGTATTTTTATTAATTGAATATTTTAAACAAAATAGAACAATAAAAATATTTCAATTTGTAAAATTGAAATAACAAAATTAATATAGCAAAAGGATGCAATAAGAAATTTTAAGGAATTCCTCATAAATGAGCTCAGAATAAATGTTGCATATAAAAAGTGAAAAAATGCTTATATGGATTTTTGGTGTAGATTATACTTTTTTTTAAGTTAGGGCAGTTAAGTAAAGGTGGAAGCTAAATTTTTATCGTTTCGAATTGATGTAGTTGCCTAAATATTTCAATTTATTTCAAAAAAAGAGACTTCTTTGTTTTTTCTTGTAACCAATTAAAATCATCAAATATTGTGCCTTGAAAGTGAAAACAATGTGATCATACTTTATACTGTGCAAATTGTACAAAACTATAGATATATAATATCAAATGATATAGATTTAGATATGAAATATCTAGTGCATAACGTTAATAAGAACGCTGGCAATAGTTTATAATCACAGTGTGATAGCTTATTTTTTCGTTCTATTAATTTCGATTTGTTAGGCCCTGGCCAGTTTTGTCACAGTTCTTCCAATAAGGTTGCGATCAAGATAAATCAATAACCAAAATGAGCAAGCTGATCGTAATCCTTTGTTTAGTAATCGTAGGCTACACTAAGTGCAATTAATATAGTTATATGCTAATGTTGGTAGTTTTTAAGCCATTGTTGAAAAGTCTCTTTAAAACATGCCTTTACCCATTGCTGCCTGTTTGTCTCACTGGTTAATAGTGGTAAAAATTTATTCAAATGAATCTCCTGTTTATTTATGTAATACATAAACACATACATACATACATTGATAGGATTACTAAGGAGACTTTTTGATTTGAAATATTTATTCAATGAGCAAATTGTAAATTTGCCAGTCTTGTTATTTTTTTTTAATTTTATTTTATAAGATTCCGAGATCATTTATATTTTTGCAATTTGGAAGCAATTTATATCTTTTTTAGTTTAAGTTTTCTATATGCTTTAATTAATAATTAATCTTTGTAAGTGAATTATTATACAGATAAATTTAGTTGTTTACTATCCCTTCTAGGTTTAATCTGTTATTAAAAAACGAGAAAAACTGAATGTATTGGTGCGACATATGTATTATAACCCATGTTTAACTTAAAAGTTTACACATTAAGAAATAATTTGTTTGTTCAATGTAATTTCCTTTATTAATAAATCTACCTCTTAATAAGCAGTTGTTTTGTTTGTTTGCTTGGTATGTTAATGGATTAAGTTTCGTGCATCAAAAAAAGTTGAGTTAGATATTTTATTAGTTTAATGTATTTAAATATCTGCAAATAATTGTTCTCCGGTTACGGAATTTATGAATAGTTATTTCTAGTGCATGTGATCAAAGTATATTTTGTTAAAGTGTGACTTTTTCATACTGGCTGTTCCAACAACAAAAAAAAACATAGGAAAAGTGTGGTTACCCTTGTTCAAATTGACTTCTAAAACATTTTTTTCTCAAACAAATGATAATTTTTCTGTATAACGGCTTTACTTCTTATATTCAGAGACACGTCAATTATTGCTTAAGAAACCGATAAAACACAAACAGCACGAGTAAGAACAAACGCCACAGGATGTGTCAATAGGCCGCTTTTTTTACGATGAGACCCATCATATTTTAAAGGGTATTAATAAAAATACTTTTTTTTATTTAGATTTTCGTTACTTTTTTCAGATAAAAAGACACAAAAGAATAGTTTATAATTAATAAAGAAGTATAAATCTCGTTAATTAATGTAGGTTGTGATATTTAGGGTTGTAGAATTGACCGGTCAAATTTTTTGTGCCAATTGACCGAAATAATTTTAAAAATAACATTAAATTTATACTTATGTATTTATAGTTTTGGTTGGCCATATTCCACGTTACATCGCCTTTGCATCGTATTATTAACACTATAATTGCAAATGGTATTTGAAACATTTTTTGACTAGTCAATTATGAAGTGGTCGATTGACCGACCAGTCCCAATACTAGTGATATTACCCGCAAACAGCAGCAGAAATACCAAGTCGTTCTCTATAAGTTATTTTTAAAATAGTACTAAATTTATGAAGGTGAAATCGTTGTCTGGTATGGAGTTTATCCGTTTAAATCTTAGGTCCACTAGTAAAGCAGCCTCGAATTTAGACAAGTATCTTCTTCTAACGGCTGCTAAAACACTTTCAGAAATGAGACGAAGGCAAGCTGTAGAAACAATGTCTTTTTGGCAAGAAAATAGCTGAATTTTTGGCTGTGTCGTGTTAAAATTTCTTTCTTTTCTATCTCAAACTAAGAAAGGTCGACCAAAATAGAGGAGTAAATTTTCCATAATGTAATTGCGAATGTTCACGACGAGTAGGTAACCAGGGTAGAAAAATTATGGTTACAAAGTGATACTAAAGGATCTTTTTGAAAAAATCAAATTATGCATATCTCCCAACTCTTATGATAAGTCAGAAAATCCATGTAACTGGATAGAAATGGGGTTAATGAAAAGTATGTTTTAGAATTTTGAAGTTATTGAGGTGAATCAGCTGAGAATGGATATTTGGACCATTTGCATTAAAGATCAGCTATACCATGAAATTTGTTTCTAAAGTTTCTAAAGTTGTTGTTATTTGATTTTAACAGAAATGGTTACTGATGACAGGAGAACAAAAGTTCATGAAATATTGAATAATATGAATTGAAATCATATATTATCGTTATATATATTATTATAATATATGTCATTTAGTTACTTGACATGATGCGAAGTGAATTGATAGCTTATTGAAGATTGTCTTATTAGTAAGCATTTAAGAGTTAGACACTTTAACGATAAAGGAGAAACTATCTCACTCTAACAAAAAATAACTGATTACTTCTTGTATTTCTTCGTAAGAAGATTATCTGAAGAATTATAAAACAAATTTTTTGTCCATGATAAGAAATAGGCCAGAAGTAATAGCGTAGGTTACAGGAGTAAAACACTTGTCGTCAGGGTTAAAACGCCAAATATTTTGTAACTTTAGTTGATTACATTTAGCCATGTATGCGATTACAACAATGTTGTGACGCCTGAATCGCAAAAGAGTGTTTTATGTGCTGGGACCTGGGACTAACATTTGGTGCTTCAATATAAAACGTAATTTGGCTCTTGTTGAACTCTTCTGAAATATTTAAGATAACATTTTAAATGCTTCTGCTGAAAATCTAAAGGTTATACTAATCTTACTAAATCAAATATACGAAACAAAAATCACACTGGTTAGAAATAGAATATTTCACAAGGTGATTTTTCAAGTATTCTTAAGTTTTATTAACGTCTTCCAAGCACTCGCTCCGCTTGCGGCAAATCAAGCTCCCGACTAAAGTTGCGTTTATCAAGCTTGTTGTATAAGATACTATTAAATGTGTTGCAATGAGAAAATTGCCAAATTTTTTAAAATAGTAGCTGACATTTTTTATATTCTTTTCAAGGTGACGATTATACGGATTATTCGCAAGAGAACAATCAAAACCACACGAACCTCCCATCTTCTATTACAGTGAACCTGGAGGTGTATTCTCCAAAGCAGGAATCGGTAATTATATCTACGGAGGCAGCGCGCAACATGATCGCCGAGCAATCCGTCGAAATAGAAGATGTGTACGAAGAATCCACGATAAAACTGGAGCAAGTCACTTTGGAATCCTGTTTGGAAGCAGAATCGGTCACAGGAGTTCATTTCCTCACAGACGAAGAGTCGCCTAAAAGCGAAGAAAACTACGAGAAGAAGAAAACGGAATTTTTGGAGTATTTGCCGAGGGCTGACGGGAGTGTGGTGTGTAAAAGATGTGGGGAAGTTTTAGCATCGAGGACACACTGGTACAGGCACAAATACAAGTTGCACGTGAATAATTTCATCAGTCCTGCACCCCTTTTTAAATGTGAGCTCTGTAATGTGTTTTTCAAAAGCCGAAAGGGATACACTGGTCACGTCTCAACTCGCCATCCCGATTCGGATTTACAGCCAGAACAGGAATCGCAGGTATACATAGAGTTGAGTCTTTTTTGATGCCTCCTTATTGCTGGCGTTTTTAAGCAATATGATTTTTTAACTATAAAACTTCTGGATTCCTCCTGCGTCGGTTTTTGTTGAGTCGAACTAGCTAACGTTTCGCCGATCATCCTGTTGGCTTCTTCAGAACTTGACTGAAGGATGATTGGAGAAACATTAGCTAGTTCGACTCAACAAAAACCGACGCAGGAGGAATCCAGAAGTTTTATAAAAAGTAATACAGTAGCCTGTGGAAATTTCTTTGAAAAATACAAAGGTCTTCTTATCAAAGAAACATTTTCGAATATATTTTTTTATGAAGCAAATTTGGTACAACATTTCTTGTTGAATATAAGTTTCATGGTAAATGCTTCTTCATAATTCAAAACAAGTAATAGCCTCGAATCTGCCTTAAGTTCAAACTTTCTGCATTCTAATTTAATTTAAGAAAATTATTCATATTCTGCACCCATTGTAACGGTTGTGTCAAATTCAAATATAAAAAAAACTCATTTGAATACGTAGTCCAGTTTTTCAGTTAAGAGGGGGTCTTCAAAAGTTTCGTATTTTCTTCTTTTACTTTTCTATTCGGAAAAAAAATATTTTCTTGTAGAAATCTTTCGAAGATTTTTTTTTCTAAGACATCAGTATATTATTTTATTTTTCCCCAGGCGGCTAAGACATTATCGCATAGAAGGAAACAACCCGTTATTTTCTTTTGCAGTAACCTAGAAGCCTTCCCTGATATTTGAATGGGATCGGGGCATATTTTTAATAAATTCGGACGAAAAAATGCCACATCAAAAATGAAAATTGGTGAAAACTTCCAGCAGCTATGTGGGTTGATGAAAGCAGCAATGTCTCAAAACAAATTACAATCTCTGGCAACTAATGTCTCTTAGTTCTTTTTGGTTAGCAAAATATGGTTCACAAAAGTATACATAAATGTTACTTTATCCCGGTGGTAGTTCAAAAAATAAAGTTACACATAAATAAATATCGACTACGATATATCAAGGATGAGATTTTCAAATTTGAACTTGTGTTTAAAATCGACTCACATGTCCACTCAATTTTGGCTAACTCTGCAGGCGATACTTAAAACTCCCACAAAAGATCATTGGACATTGTACATTGTTTTTATTAAATCGTAGAGCTTAGAAGAACAAAACGAGACCAATTGCTGCAGTGCGACAGCGAGTAATGTCGTTCGCCGGAGACAGGATAAATCCGTCGATTGGGAGGAACAAAGGGTAAAAGAAGAGAAACTAGTGGCAGATATAATAGACCGGGTGAGAAAGGAATGCGAGGCTCAAGGAGCGGCGGTTACTCGCCGTGGATACAGTAGAAGAAATACCTCCGTAATGAATATTAATTCAGCATGTTAGTACCTCCATTGTTAACGTGTGTGCCAACAGGTTTTGCCAAAATTAGCTTGTAAGTTTGTAAAAATTGTATATAAGTGATCGGTAGTAATTATGCGGTTTGGTGTAGGAAACTACCAGAATTTGTTCAACTAATAATAATAATAATAATAATAATAATAATAATATATCACGAGCAAAGCATATTTTATCATAACTTTTAATGTGATATAGTAGATTTTTACGGAAAATTTAAAGTGAATTGAAGGCAGATATTTTTTCGATCACAGTTCTGTTCAATTGAAAAGAAACAAGTAAAACATGGCAAATTGATATTAAATGGATGATTAGATATACAGGCCGGCGCAATAGTGAGTCAAGGTACAACATCTCCCCCATTTCGAAATATTGTTTTAACGAGTTGATGGTTAAAATCTAAAGGCAAACATATTAAAAATATTTTCAATTACACAGGGTGTAACTATAGGGAAACCTTAACAAAAGTGATACACGGACAGTAGCTGAAAACAAAAAAGTAGTACTAGTACTATATTTCATTTTAAAAATCAGAAAGAAATTAATCAATTTGACAACCGACTTTTTAAACACCCTGTATGAAATAATTACCTACGTGCTTTACTGATGTCCTACACTTGACTATGTTAAGGTCTATTCCTGATATAATAAATGCGGATGGATAGTTATAGGAGATAATAGGAAAGCATGTTTTATGAAATATCTTTTATTTTTTTCCCAATAAGATGGAACCTCACATCAAAATTCAAAAAGGTTTAGGGTGTGATATATACTTTTCTTGGATATGAATATGTAGCAACATACTATTTTATTATATGTTCTTAAAGTATCACTACACCAAACCATTAATTCCCTTAAGATGTTTCTCATCCTCGTTATTACATGTACCACAAATAATTTGCTCAGTTTTAGTATAGTAAAACAAATACTAATTTTTTTCAAAAAATTCACTCCGTTTGTCATTTATTTACTAATGTTACTGAAATTAATAATTAAATTTAAATGGAGATTTTCACATTTATATGTTGCTTCAAGTCTCGTTATTTAAGAAATATTCTAAAAGACGAAACTTACCTATATATCGAAGTATTTTTTTGTAATCTTGAAATTATTTTTTATTTTAGTCTTAATTAAGTTAGCAGTTTGATGTCTTGTCAATAACATTACAGATAAAGATCAATTCGAAGTATGAAACATTCTTTGCATAGTGTTTATCTTTAACAAAAAAAGGAAAACCCATGAAAAGATGCTCAGACCCGATTCTCTATTAACCCTTTGGTATGCACATGAGTCGATAGTTATGTATATGTTGTTAGGAATTTTGCTCAATTATTATACAAAAGAAATACGTGTGCCAAACATTTATTAGATTGTGGTTTGTTTTTGTTATATTGTTAGACTAAAGGTCTTCCCATTCTGAGTTACCATCTTCCACATGTCTGTCATATTATACAAAAGATATTTTTATTAAGATTATGAATAAGGCATTACCATGTAATTATGTAAAATACTGTACAGAACCTATTATGTAAGTAAAAAGTCTTTTTCCTTAAATTGAAGTCTGAACTTGATTTGTTATGAAAAATATATATAATATTGAGAAAATCATGGTCGACGTTTCTATTCCTTTACAGAAAACCCAAATATTAGATAGGAAGATATATTCGAAAAAATATTTGGGTGAATTAATTATAATTTGACTGAAATTAAGGGGTAAAATTATAGCTTTGTTGCAACTGTATAGTACTTTGAAATTGAATGGTTTGACTGTTTAATATTTTGCAAACATTTGTTGTTCAATTAGATGCACAATGTCTTGTAGAAACCCATTTGTTCCCTTTGGTTAAAATTTCTAGATAGGTGATAATAGGTTTTATATTTGATATTTCTTTTAAATAGGGGGTAAAGAGTTGTAGTATTTACGTTTTCTTGATTATTGCAATAGACAACTTTATATATACCTATGCATGTACCTACAGGATCTTATTTTACTGATATCATACATAATTAAATTAGGGAAGAGGATATCTGATGCCGAATCGATATTTTGTACGGCCCAAAAAGGATAAAACAGACTGTTTTTCGTTACTGTATCCGGCCCAACAGGACGACTATGGTCGGACGGGGTCATTGCTAGATTGGCAAGCGTTGTACCTATCACATAACTCAATGTTGTTAAATCAGAATGTCTAATTAAAATATGTCATGTTGTTTCAAACAATACACTCAAAATCTATTTAGGCTATTTAGCTGGTATGTGGTACATACCCTTACTAATACCAATACCAATACCGTTTTTTACAAAAACATTAGGTTGGATGACAAAAAACACAATTTCACCGGATTCTCAAAAGTACCAAGTTTACTAATTTAACATTAATCTTTATGGCTCCTAGTTTTACAACTCACCCGATGTAATGTTATAATGCATCCATCCCAAATTTGGGTTAAGGACATCAGTAGTTTCGCACTTTACACGCACAATAAGTAGACTATGAACAATGTAACAAATGAACAGTGGTAATTTATTCAATAACAACTAAACTATCAAATGAGAGCCTTGGAAACACTAAATTAAAACAATAAAATATAGTAAAGGAACAGAAGGCACATTTCTGGTCTTTGACCACTTACCGAATTACATAGAGTTTAGAACAGTTAGTTTTGGTTAGGTTAAATCTGTGTAACGAATAAAATTAAACGATAATTATGGCGCCATCTATGCTCTTGTCGAATGAAGTAAAAACAGAGACCGTCCGCAATATACCGATCGAGAAGCACTTTAGATCATAGATATGAGATATAAGGGGAGATATTGGGTGGGAATCAGATAAAACGAAAAACGAAAAAAGACAACAGTTTAGTGTTTGTTGGGAACATAAATTTTAAAAACATACAAATTATTGTTGGAGAACGGACAGACGACCGAAGAGGTCCCGGGAAAATGGAATGGACAGATCGCCCTATTGAAAACAGCAAGGAAAAGAGAACAGAACTTTTAGTAATTGGCCAATAGCAGTCCAATGTTCAAATCTAGAATGAACTGGAAGTTTACATAGCCACTAACTAGCATAAAGTCACGATCAAACGTTAAACCGGACGTTATTAGATGCGACTGCGAGAATGTATAAAAAATAAAACCGTTAGTTGTTGAGTAATGAATGGATTAGTGATTTTGTTGAAAGCAAAGATCTCTGGTCGTGAAAGAAAACGTAGTTGCACTAGTGACTTATTTGCTTTTATAATTTGGATTGATTTAGCCATTGACGAATTAATAGCTTATAAATTTGTTGCTTATTAGTAAATTAAACTATTTTTTGTGGATTGTTTGTGATATTAGCAATGTTTGTACCTCGGTACCAAAATAAACTAATCCGTTATTTTTCATATTTGAATATATTAAACTATGGGCCAGAAATCTTGTTAACACTAATGCTGAAATAATGTTTTTTATTTATGGAATTTTTGAGATTTGCAATGTTTGTGTTAAAAATTATTCGGAAACCCTTTGTCGCGTTAGTAGACAAAATAAGTCCGCTGAAACATTTTTTTTTAATTTTCAGCTTATTAAACGCTAAGTTGCACGATTTGGTAATCCATGCTTCGCCACGGTAAATCTTATTGCCTGACATGCGCTGTCATTATTCCATACTGTCGAAATTTTTGGATACCAGGTTGCAACTGTCGTAACAATAATTTTTGTCATTTGCCTCTCGACCCTGAAATTGTTTCATTAAAATATCATGTCATTTCATGTCATTTCACTAACAATGTATGCATATTACGCAATGTGAATTATATAAGCAAATCTTTTTAGTGATTTTCAATTGGTGGATAGATGACATTTTTTGCCTGTATTTAGCTCTAAAATATCCAGAGTTCTGCAAGCCCAAGGTTGGAAAAATTATATCGCTCAAACGCCGTCAGTGTCAGTGCTGCTTGTAACAACCTCCCCCACACTAAAAAGTCTTACTGATTCGAACAATTCAATATTTTTGAGAAATTCGTAAATTTGTGGTTTTAGCTGACTTGTCACAGTATTTAACGAAGGATACTGGCCTTGTCTTTGGTTTTCTGATATGCTAATATAATATGATGTCTGCCTCATCGAAATTTAACGTGGCGCATTCACTTAGATGAGGTGCCAATTTAGCCATGCTCTCATAGCTTCGATTAGCAGAGAAGTTAGATTTGGTTCTCGAGCATAACACAATTGCGAGTGATTCTCGAGACGAACTACTGCGAAAAAAACTGGACGTCTTCGATATTAGGGTCTTATGTGGATCAAAAATTTCATCCCTACTCATTATTGGTGTTTGGCAGTACAAAAAGGCTCAATGATAACACTCAATACTTTTAAGTTTTTTTGTGAGTTGTGTAATGGTCATTCTGTGTTCATAATTAATAGTAATTATTATTATTATTATATCTCCACAAAGCGGTATGGTTGTATCGTAATATGATATGATTTCTTGGTGATTTGGAGTGTACTATGAGCGTCAACTAAAAGCCAGGTTTGATTTCATATAATTTATTTTAACATTTTTCATCTATTATTTACACAACATCCTCACATATTTACAGAACACATTACGTTAATTTAATGATACAAAATGTGTGGTGCTGGATGATAACAGTATATCGTTTATAACTGTTGATAAAACAACCCAATGCCCTCGCGAACCCTGAAACGCGGATATTGCGTTAGACGTGACAACGTCTATCGCCTCCCTTGATCACGCTGCATAGACGTGACTGGCCGCCCCGACGGCGCCTGTTTTCCAGACATGCGTTGCGCGCAGTTAGTCAGTCGACCGCGACCGCCCTTGACGATAGAAAAGTGAAAATCGCCCAATCGCTAAACCCCCCTTTAAGCCCCTTTCACTCTTAATATTCCCTTATAAGTCGGTGTCCTCTTTGGACTAGCCCCTCAAACGGTTTCTTTCGAGGAAGTTTAATCTCTATTTTAACGCAAATTGTGTTTGTGATTAACTCAAATAAACCGATTGTTAAATGCCTTATCTTGTACCGTCGTCGCGTTGTGACAGAATATAGTTTGTGTTGTGTTAAACGGCTATCATTTAAAATAAACCAGCCCCGTAAGAATACAGTCCACACCCCCAACAAATCAACCCGTTAGATGGTGGTGAAGCAAGGATACGTTTCTCCCCCAATAACAATAATGTTTTACGTAACAATTGCGAAATTTGGAATACAGGATTTTTCGATACGGATCTTAGATTTCATGTACAACAAATTTATCTCAAAGTTACTGCCAACCACATAATTGAAACGAAAATTGCCTGCGCCTACTAACTTTAACCGAATTGATCGGGTTCGAAGTTTCCAAAATCCGGCATTCATTGACACAGAACATAAGCTTAATTAAAGCCACGTCTAATAAATTCGAACAGTGTAGAACGAGGGTCCTTTTGCTTTTAATGTCGTTATTTTCCAATCAAATTACAGTCATGGCGACGTCGGTTCCAATAAATGGATAACGAAAGCGGTAAATTTTAGCCGAGAGCTGGCGAATTTCAGCGGAAACGTTTGATATTTTCTATTAAAAACAAATTCTGGTTTGACTGGTCTGAGCACGAATCCTGGCGGATGCTTTCCTGTTCGGATATTTTGGAGTTAGTACCGATTGTTCTTCACCCGTTCATGTTCTGTAGGGCCTAAACTGAGTTGATTATATTCATCGAATATTTTCAAGCAAAATTTCGTTTCTTGAAAAATTTCTTTGAACCTTGAAATTACGCGAAAAATATATAATTAACTAAGAGGTAACAAATAATCGACTAATAAATTCCTTTTCCTAATAACTTTTCCATACACCTACATATTACTTTCCGGGATCCTTTCTGGATGTTGCGTTCATAAACAAATAATTTTTAGCATTGAGTTTTCACTGAATCGGCAATATTTTGCTAATAAAATCGCATGCGCACCAGCATTTTTAAATTGTTAATCCAATATTTTAAAGCTATAGATTCTTTTCAGTTAACTCGTAATTGTTCGTAGTCAATTTCTTTTTATAAACCCATAATAAATGTTTTTAAGCAGTATAAGGTATAAGAGAGCAACAGAATGATTTTCGACACATACAAAATGAAGGGTGATATCTTGAATTGCATAAGGCATGGAGAACCTCGTACAAGGAATCGAACTAAGAGTGATATATCATTTAAATTTTTAGTCCTCTTAACACTTGCATTTCCGATTGATATAGCGATTCGCTTTTTTTTAACCATTTCATTAACCACATCTACAGTGTCATTCTTTTTGGTTAGAATTACGGGGTATCTCAGTTCTTATTGAAAACAGAATGTTACAGTTTTCAACAGCCGAAACTAAATTTTTGTAAAACAATAAACGCAGCGAACAAAATCGTCAATCCCTCTTAGCCCTTTATTATTAAACGTTTAACACAAACTGTGTTAACTCTGAACATTGTGAGCTAAGGAATGTAAAGTCATAATATTACGAATTTTTAATTAATCACAGTAAAAAAAAAACAAACGAACAATATTTTAGAAATATTAGTTTGGGTAAAACAGACAACCATATTATATTTTAAACGTTATAATAGCATTTTTACTTTTTTGATAAGTTTCCTGCTAACTGCGATACAAGGACCATCTGAAAATGCATTATTTTCAATACATTTCTGTAGCTCGAAAACGACAATCAAAATGGGACAGACTGTAACTCTTTTCGATACACAGCCAGCAAATTTTCTGGAGAAAAACATCGAATTTAATTCATATTCCAAAATTGAAGTTTAATTATGTCATTCTGAGAGGGAATAATTGCTATAAAAACCCTATAAACATAAAAACTATATTATTACCCTTCGAAAGGGTTAAAATTCGTCGTTAATCTGACGTACTTATGCGCGAAAAGTGACACTAGTTATCCGATTTACTATTATCATCCGTTATAACGATCGTATGAAGTTTTTGTGGCATAAAACTGAGTTTTCAGTATTACATTCGTGTTGTATACAGTATGTACATAACTCTAATCCCCATTTCGAACACATTTAAGTTATTCACTGAATTATAAATAATTTGACCAATCATTATTGTTGGACTTATTAAACCACCAGAATTTGATACATATTTTACCTGTTAAAATTGTTTTCGCCTACAAATTAGGATTTAATTAGTGTAAACAAATTCCACAGTAAAACCTAAACTTATACACTACAAAAACGACTCAAAATTATACAGAACAATAGTAATTGTATTAGTAAATTGGCAATAAATCCGCAACGCAGTTTTGATATTAAATGAATAACAATATAAAAATATCGGAGAGAAATAATAGCGGATACCCAAAATGTAATTTGCAATGCGTAAACAAAACCGTTTTGTTTAAAAGGCGGAAATGCGCCACCAAATAAAAAATGATATTTCAAGCACTATATTTATATAAATATTATATTCGATATATTCATTTTAACTAACGAAAACTGAATGAAAATGTTAGTTTTGGATATTTTTTACGTTAATATCGCGCGGAAAAGTTAGCATTACGATTTCCCAATTGATAAATTGATGTTAATTTATTTAACCATCCGCAAAATATTCGGGTACACACGTCAACGACTGATAATTTTTGATAATAACAGATTACGGGAATTGGAAAGGATTGGAAGAAAAATATTTTTGGCATTGAGTATTAACTAAAGACAAAATTGTGGCGCTGGTTCGAATGACTTTCTTATTTATGTTTATGGATCAAGAGCTGATTTTGACCAATTATCAAACAATATCCGTTGTGGGTGTCATTTGCACATGAATATAGGGTGTGCGAATAGTGTGTCAAAGTAATTTATCTCGTTTATTATTTATTTTAAAGAAAAGTGTTAAATACATAATTTATAGATGAGACCAAAAAAAAAATTAAAATTATTCCTAAATATTTGGGAAACCAAACTTATATTTTTTAAGGCGCTGCATATTACGCATATACTAAATCACCCAATATAGGGTTTTAATGGTCTTTACTGTAATAATAAATATGGCAATAATTTTTAATTTTAGGAAACAAAATATTTCCTTTCTTTCCATTAATTTAAAAATTCTTAAAGCCCAGAATATTATTAAACTATAAATAAGTAAGACCATAGACAATAGAGCCCATGATGATGACACACAGTCAGGTGGTATAATAGGTGGTATAATAGGAAATAACATTGTAGGGCCCCATTTTTTTGAATATACAGTGAATGGGCAAGTTTACTTAGACTCCTTAAATCAGAGTTTGCAAAATATGTTAAGAGCCATTTCCATCAAGTTACGAACTCATTGATAACTTATTTCCTCAACGTGGATAGGAAGAAGGAGTTAAACCAATACTAGATCTCCCCATCTAACAAAGATGGACTATTTTATGTTAAAAATCAGGTGTATGAAACTACCCCCACAACAAAAGATGACATGAAAAAGAGAATAATAATAAACCTTTCAAAGTGTTAGTCATGAAATGCTAGTGAATACTGCCAGAGCATACATCGAAGTCGGTTGGACAAATAAATAAGGAAAGTGAAGTAAAATGACAGTTTTTTTTTGGTTTTGCAGTTTTGTTCTTAGTTTTTGAAAGTTTTTTCTGAAGCTCTAAGCAAAATTAGTATTGCATTTTTAATATCATCCCTAGCGTAAAATACCGTTTAAATTGTTTTTTCATAATTATAATTATATTTTGGTTTAAATTTTGGATTATTACTTATACTGAATTCGTCTCTGTCAACTTTTCATGTACAGGCAATATTTATTTTGTTCTCAATCATTTGTGAAATTTTCGCACGGTTTGAAAAATTTCAGTAGTATGTTCTTAAAAATGTGTATACTTCAAAAATACTACGTTTTGGTATAATATACGGTGTGTTCGATTCGGCGTTCCATTTGATTTTTTCACGAAAATTAATATTTTTCATTTTGACCCACTCTGTATAAATGATTCGAACTATTTTGAAGACAAGTATAGGATAAATGACTGTACTACTTTATATTGTTGGTATAATAAAATTAGAGCTGTCGGAAATGGCGCCAAAAATATAGAGTGTTTTTGACGAAAAAATGGCCATAAATCCGAAAATACTCGGTATAGGCCACAGTAACCCTATAATGCTATTAATATATAGGGTGTTCCATTAACAATTTTTTTTTTGGTTTCCCACAATATTTACAAATGTTTTGTATATTTGAAAATAATTTTAAATTGTTTCTTTTAGTCTTATCTATAACTTTCGTATTTAATATTTTTTTCTAAAATAAATAATAAATATGTTACTTTGGTACACTATTTGCATACTCTGTAGTATGACAAGTAGATATAAATTTTGGTTAGAATTTAGATGATTTCCTTAAGATAAAGTTAATAAATCTACTCAAATATTTAGTTAGAAATTTAAAATATGTTTTTTTTTAAATTTTATTGATTTTCGAAACAGTCATTTGATATTTTGATATTTCAGGCTTGTGACTACTAGAGGTTTGTTGCTCTTTTTTGGAGCACTGCCAAAGATTAGAACAAAATTGGATATTTTTTCATTTGATGGATAACGGACTCAGAACCTGTGACCAAATCTTAAAAGGTTGTTTGGATTCACTTACACGTTTAAAATACATATTATTATATTGTTATACGTACAGAATGGTTTTAAATATTTGTTATTTTTTATTTTATATCAAGGTTATTTTTGAATCCTCAGAAAACTATAGACACATTCATGTCTGCCTGTTTCTGGTATATTTTGAATTTTATGTACAGTGATGTTTTCATGTTTCACATTTCTCCGATTGATAGCCCTTGCTATAGTAGTCTGTATCAATAAAAAAATTATAATTTAATTGTATTCAGCATTTGGAAAGGACCGTTTTGTATAAGGTTGCTTTTTTCAAAATGTAGATTTCGAAATATCACCAATAAAATATTTTACAATTGTGAAAATGCCATACGTATTTTAATTGACTAAGAAGATGGTTACAAATTATATTCTTTATAAATCATATCCGATAATTAATTTATTAGCACATAAGTTATTTACATTTATTTCTAAAATTGAAGCAAATTTTATCAAAAACATTTTGACATTTGTTCAAAACTATCCTGATAGATAAGAAATGACAAGAAACAGTGTTAAACGAATAACAGAAAAATTTGACCGTTAGAATCTTGCTCGTTTGTTTTCTTTTTCTATGTTTTGCTGTAATTTTTTCTACGTTTTTCAGAAATTAAGGTTAAGGGTTAAGGTAAGGTTCGATTTAAAATAATAAAGTTGTTACTTATTCGCGAAAATACGAACACCAGGTATATATTATAATATAATACTTGAATCCAAGTATAAGTGAATCCAAACCATAAGTTTTTTTGTTAAGTTCTTAGGTAAGATGTTATCCCGTAATAAAAAACCCACAAGGTAGTCGTAATTAACAGGAAACGCCTATTTGTAAACTAGATTGAGAAGATAGAAACTAGGGTATTTTGTTTTCGGCCATTTAGAAAATTGAAGACAAAAACGCAAACAAAAATATCTCATACCTTCGTTAGTTTTGGAGACATACTTGAGTTCATTAGTTGCCTTCATGCCAGAAAATACAAGATATTAAATCGATTTGTAAATTATTGTTTATGGTAACAATGGAATATAGTTAGTCTATTAAAACCTTTGTTACAAATGATTCAAATCATCTTATTTTAATTTTACTTAAATTTAAATTGTGGTTAGTTGGACCTTTTTCTGGTTTTAATAAGTAATATTTAATTGCCTCCCAATTATTTGCATTGATTATTGAATTTTTTGCAGATAAAAATAAATGCATCTGACAAATAATACAATTTGTTCTACCGGCAGTTGATGGTGTTTAGGCAGCTGTTAAATTGATTGAATAAAAATGAGTAGTTTGAACCACTATATCAAATTAACAAATGTTACTCTTAATACAACTGTTTTCCATTGTGGTCCAATGTCTTAAATATTTTAGAGAGGTAAAAAAAAATCCTTGGACAAGTTTATTTGAACGGACCTTTTGTAAATAATAAACGTTAATAAATTTTTCTGATACAACATTTAATTGTTTTGTGGACTTCGCTTGATGAATTTCTTTACTTTTTTTAAATTAATTAAGTGGACTTTTTGTGAAGTAAGTGGACTTGAATGAGCTTCGTTATGTAAATAATACACACAAAATGTATAAAATAAAAATAAGGTTCTATCCGACTTTACCCGACTCTAAAATCTGTTCAAACAAAACATTATGTGGATTGTCATGCTCCCTTTGAAAATTAGTTATTAGCATAAAAAGTGTAGTAAATTCTTATTAATCGGGTTAAAAATTATTGATCTTTAAATCGCGACATCTTTTTTTAAGTTTTAGTTAATTTATTCAACTTCACCACCAACCATGACTTCATATGTACACCCAATCTGGGATTTAACATAATAACTGATAGTTCATTCACGGGTTGATAGGCTACGATAGTTCTTCCTTGCAAACTGTTCTGGAAATTACATACTAGGAGGTAGCAACGAAAACAAAATGAATTTGGAGTGATCCGTTAGATGGGCTTCAAATAGCATTTGTAGGTAAGGGAAATCGACGATTTCAATCATTTTCGTACCGATATTATTTCGAAAGCTACAGGGGAAAAAATGAAGACTAAAATATGGTAGAAATTATATTTAAGCTCTAAATTTCCTCGAAAACACTTAAATTAACCTATAACTTTAATAAAATTAATTGAAAACCCAAACAATACCGTAGAAGTTTTGTCTGAGCCTCGTTGGGGTACTAATTTCCAACTATTCCTTCTTCTACTTCTATCTTTCTAAACGACCTATCCAATTTAAAAATGAAACTCGGGCTTATAAAAGAATCGCAACTGTAAGGGCAAGTAACAGTTTTGTGGTTTTGTTACGATTTTTACGGTATAATTTTGATGTCCTAATCAGAAAACAATATTGATCTAGAATGTTAAACTACGATATGATTATATAAAAACACTTTTATTTCTCCTTCATGTCGGAGTTTATTGAAATCGAAATTGAAATAATTAGCTTCAGCTTCAGCTTCAAACAAAACTTGTGCGAATTGTTTAGAGTTTCTATTTATGTTAATGTTATAGTTTAATTTAAAAATGTTCGGAAAGATCTTTAATTTTATAGTTCACGCTATCATTTGCACCCCTTGCCGTAATATGTTGAGCTTAAAAATAATTTCCAGAATTATTCCCATCGTTATTATAGTCTAGCTCTAGGACCAATACACCGCCATTACAGCAGGTAGTTACTAAAATGAATACCATATATAATTTAACATAAAGAAACTGAACAGTGTTCAAAATGGAGGCTCTCTTATTCGAATAGTTTTTTCTTGAGGAACCAAATTTAACTTTTGACCCTAATTGATTTAATCATCGCTGTGTATTATAAAAACAAAATATTGGTCTGTGAAAAACCGACATCACAACTCGTTGGTGCTTAACTTATTATTCACAGTTTTATTTTTATAAACATTTAGGTTATTAACCGTGACGCGTAGGTTAAAGAAAGTCCATTTTAGAATGTTGCTGATTTCGTGCCTAGTTTTTAGTCTGCCAAATATTAGACCTTTTAACATACTAGCGCTTTTATGAATTGTCTAACATCAAGTACTATCGATCGTGTCGTTAACAGTTCGTATCCGAATCCGTCCAAATATGAATAGCATTTTTCCGTAGTTCACAACACACAACATAAAAGAGTTTTATGGTCGCCAATTCCCAACTTCGCTATCTGTATACAAATAGCCCCAGGAACAAAAATGTTTTACTGGCTCAACCGCATTTTATTGGAATCCCACGCATTAAACGAAATAGAGACAAACCTTTTTGTAGTAAAAAGATAAGTAATCGAAAACTTTGTTTATTGAAGCGGCACAACTAATTCCGTTACTATAAACTCGGTTTATGTGTGTAACTCTTTGTTCAACGGGTGGGCGAGGCCTGTGAGGAATATATTTAGTGGTATTAAACCTTTTATGATAAGTGTGTTTCACAAAACCAATAATAACAATTAATCTACCTTTTGAAAAATTCAGAACAAGCACATCAAAAAAAGGAAAAAGATAAGGAATATTTTAAAGATAAAAAAAGAAACAAATCAAATCCACTGCGGAAAACTTTCAAAACATTGTATAATTTTATACGACCAGGAATATTTTTTACAATTTTTCAAAAAAAAAAAGATTTTGAGTCTTTGACAGTATTTGCAGTTCCACCTCTGCCTATTGGAAGATTTTTAGCAGAAATGCGTTTCTTGGCAGATGTTTGTCCAGTGGTTTTAACTTTTTATTTTACGTGAAAATTAACTTGTAAAGGCAATTTCATTAATGATAATTGACTTATCAAAGGAAAATGCGTTTTGGTTATTACTTACGGTGATCTCAGCGAAATGAATGAAAATCCCAAAATAACTGTTATGCATACTTTGAAATAGTTAGCAGTAAATAAACCTATACAGTTTTCAAAAGTAAGGGAATTAATAAACTCCAACTATTTCGTCTGGTGATTTAATTAAATAGAAAGGAGAGAAGTAAGCAGCGCTTAGACTTTTCTTATTTATATTCACGGTATGGAAGAATCAGTTTTTTCTGTAAATTATTCGTTGAAGATGAGCTTTGAAACTTTTAAAACTCGTAAACCATTAATTTTCTCTTTAAGACTTTGAGAATTTTTTATAGGCTTAATTTTTTTACCATTAATTTGAATTAACTTCACTTTAAATTTCTCACAATGGACTTTTCCGAAAGTTAAGCAGATTCAAAGGAGCCTTTCAGCAGGTTTAAAGTTTGGAACTTTTAGGACTGCAATATAAACTCAAATTTGTTGTGGTCTGTTGACCAATTTCAATCTATGATGTAGGCGCGATGTGTGTGAATAATATATTCCTTCAAATGTGGTATACTTGTATGTTAATCCGTTTAAGTAAAGTAAACTTTTCATTTGTTAATTGAGCGTCCTGTAAATGGAATAGAAATTATAATGACATGTGATGACATATTTTGCAGGATGTCACATTTATTCTTCATATTATTTTGTATTATTGTCCAAAGCACTATCGTTTCTATTCAATTAATTTAGTTGATTCCTAACTATACAATTATATAGAATTGGGTATATTAATGAGCAGATTAGATCAAAGTTTTGTTGGTTGGTTGGTTAATGGTTAAGTGATTTTCTAAAGTTATTTCGAATATATTCACTGTCATTATGAACCGCAAAGTGTTTTACAATGAGGCTCAATAACATATATGATATAATGTACAAATTTTACGAGAGATTGGCAACGAGGTAAATAAAAATATGACGCAGTCTTTGAAAATCGACTTCATAAAAGTTAAAATCGCGGTACTTAATGAATATACCGAAAAAGGAATAGAGATCCCGTTAAAAATATCACTAAAGAAAAACAGCGAATTTTTAAAATTACGCGAGAGTACTTATATCAGTAAATTGGAATTCACTTAGTTACAAACGACATAACACCACCACCAAAAAGATATAACACAATTTACAAATCAACAAAAGTTGGACTGTTTGGTAACAGTTGAAAATTATAACCATGTATATGTTTTATCACCCGGTTGTTTCGAAGAAAAAGTACGACAGACATCAATCGATAGACGCAGAATGGAGGAGATACAAATTTATCCAATACTATAATTGGAAAGTGTTTTCGAAGTTTAGTATTAGTTTTAAATATTGTTAAGCCCGTTTTTTGTATTCCGATTAGTTGTAATATAAAAGCTAGTACGTAGTTTTAGACGAAAAATTAAATCTCATACAAAAAACCCTTCAACACTAAAACCAGCAACATTCCTATCGTACTCGTCATTATTTAAATCGAGTTAAGTCGAGTCTTACGGAATACTTTACAAACGGCAGTCTTGATGTCTAATTTAGACAGCGGCCCGAATCGAGGAGAAAACAGTTTGAGCAAATGTTATTGCAAATCACAAGTACACATCTTGTCACACCCTCAGTTCCTCCATTTTAATGTTCTGTTTGGAGTTCATTTGGGTGTTCTTTTTCGTAAGAGTACCGGTGTTCATAAGTTGTATACTATGCGCCGACAATAGCGGTTGATTTTCCTGCACTTGATGGGAACTTAAAGTGTTCACGTTTGCCTTGTTTACTTTCGGAGGCGGAGGCGGATGTCTAGGAAGGGCGGCGTTATTTTGGGGTAAATCCGCAAATTCGGGAGGAGGAAGCTGATGGTGCGAGTGATGGTGACCCAAAATCGTCGCCGGATCACCTTTTACCCCAATTATGCTCGATTCGAGATCGCCGCATATATTGTTTGGCATTTGACCATTCTCCTTTCTGCTTTTACGTTGATGCCCACCATTGTCGTTCATTCGAGATTTGTCACGTTGATAATAAACACCCGCGAAAATTAACACGTTTAAAATCAGCAACGAACAACCTATCGCGATAGTCACACTCAACGCCGTAGAGTAGGCGGCGAAGCCATCTTCAACAGGTTGCTGAGTCGTACTTATGCCACCTAGTTCTTCAACTCTTTCTGCGGTATCAACAGTCGTCGCTACCACGGAAGAAATGTTTGTGTACATAGTACGGTACTCTGTCGGAGACTCCGTAGTTGATAATTTACGAGGATTTAAGGACGGTAACTTCGGAGGTGGTTCGTCATCGTCGGCGAGCTGGTGGTGTGATGCGGGTACGTCATCGCCGCCCGGTTTGTGCAGGTCCGGCACCAGGTTGAGCCAAAACGAAAGTCTGTGGGCCCTGTAGTGGCTTTTCAATTTTGGTTTGGTATCTGAAAATGTTAGAATATTACCTATGTATCCACAACGAGCATAAAGGGTACACAATCGAGGATTCCTTGTATCTTTTATTATAGCTAGCAGCAATTTTACAATTTGGAACTTGTGATGATATAGAGTAAGGTGCAAATTTCATCCTTGATCTCCGTAATTTATAATTCATTTGAAGCTTGCGTTGTGTGTGTTGTGATGTTTAAAAAAATCGATAAAACTATTATTGATAATTAATATCTTATGCTGGATGTACCGGGTGCTCATTTTACTACGGGATGATAATTTAACTCGTAAGACATATAGAAAATATTATTTGGTTATATATGGGTATATGGTTGCATTTTCGTGAGCAAGTAACAACGTTCTTATTTTAATAGAACAACACCCTGCACATACATATATGAATTACTCTCAAAATTCAACATATATTTCGTATACAATATATATTTTATGCCCCTATAGTTACTACAAACCTTAATGCATTTTTAGGGCAGTATTTTCTGAAAATATGTCTAGATCCGATTAAATCTTCAAACAAAAAGGAGTTAAATATGTGGATATCGCTGTTTAGAAAGAAAATGAGTATACAAGTAAAAAAGTTTATTTAAATAGTATTACCAACCCATTTTTTATAATTTTATTAAAAATGGGTGTATAACATCTTTTATTTCAGTTGTAGATTTCGAAAAATCTAAAAGAAATTAGTATTTTAGAAAATAGTAATACTAAATACAATAAATTAAAAAGATAGATTATTTCCAACAATCAGAGAAGAGATTTTTTTTCCATTAATTAATTAATTAATTAATTAAGTAGATAATGTTTTTTTTGTAAGTTTTTGTATATATAGATATTTGTCAGCAAATAATAAGATACATTAATAAAATTTGTTCCACTCTTAGAAACGGAATATAATAAAATAGCTTTTATGTCAGTAAATACTTATTACACTTATAAATATTTGGTGTTTCCATTTGAAAAAGGAAAAGGAATATTTAACATTCGTTTTTAAAAATTTTCTATTTATTTATTTTTAAAATACACCACGGAATCATATAAAATGACATAAAATTCGAAATATAAAATTTTGAAAATATCAATCAATACCAACAAACTTTGAGTTTTTCGTAATGAACAGACCACCCCATACAACGTCTCTGTTATGTGGTAAGATTATCCTGGCAGAACCGCAGCATGCCAGCGGTTACAGAATGTCTAAACTTATGTCCAACTGCAACTCTGTTTGATGGTTATGAAAACTACTTTACACAGTATTAATAAACTGTGTTAACTGGATATGCTGCAGTTTATATGTCACAGAGTATATTTTTAGCACACCTGCAGAAAAAAAAAACAATTTTAAACATAATCGTCACTACTGGCACTTTCAAACAAACGTCATTCTCAGTATGTGGGTCTGCGTAACAAACAGTTACGATAGCGTCGGAAATATCCAATTCCGAATAGACTAGCGATAGATCGCGAACCTCAGATTGTCGGCAAAATCATCTAATTGATCTTCCGAATCGAAACGTTGTTCGGACAAGGCTGCACCAGGAGTGTAACCAAAACGGTCTTTCTAAAATAACAATTGTTTTTCAATTATCTGTTTTTGAAATCTGCAGCGCATCGGTTTGTCATTGTTCGTTAGTGGTCCAATTATTTCAGTTGTATTCGTTTTCATTTCGGATGCGCGTCCTGGGTGTAATATTTCCAGCATATTGAAAAATCGAAGAGCTTTTAAAAATGTGTTTTATGCCATATGTAAATCATACGGGGAATATTTGGTATTTTAGTCGGGGCACAATGGCGGGGTTAAAAACATTGTTCTGTCGGCCGCCGGTTTAATTGCTTTACATAGTGATCCATTTTCCGCAACTCGAAATGGGTGACGACCAGTGACAAAAACCAGACGGATATTGGCTGCTGTTGCCGCCGTAAATGAATACAATTTGATAATCGCGCACTTGTTTCTTTCCTCCGGAGCTAGTTTTCATCCACTGAAATTAGGTTACAAGAAACCAAGTGTTTTGCAAAGTTAAAAATGTTACTAAAAATTAGTATTGCGCCTCTAAATAAACTAGTAGATAAAAATGTCGGTCTTGACAAGAAAAATTAACGTCACCTAAAGCCGGGTTCAGACGGGTAACTGAATCTAGTAAAGTAAATTTGCTTGCGTAACATTTTATGTTCAGTTTGGACAGCATTCCGAACCCCATCGTGTATCAAAATACTGCGTCAAAATTTTACAGCATACCGCTCTCAGCGAGCCATCAGTTGTCGGTAAAGTGGAGAACCATCAAAGGAAACGCGTTGATATTGCAGCGTCTGGACGAAAACTCGAGCAACCCCACCGGTCGAACTTTGTAGTTGATTAGTCTTGTAAAAACCACCTACATACACTAGAGCACCGCTCTTGTAACAGTGGAGTGGTCGAATGAAAAAACCTTTGAATTTATAGAAAAGTATCGGAAAAAAGAGGTGTGGAACCCGAACAATCCACGAAGCTGTTTTTCTCAGGTAGCACAATACGTAAACCGGAGATTGTCATTAAATTCTCATAGCCAACCACAACAACATCAGAACCTTTCTGCAAGTCACCAGTGTCCACATGAATCCCATTTTCAATATTCCTATAAGTCACTTCAGCCACCTAATTACTTCTATATGTCACCTAATGAATCTCCATATTACCCAACAACTCAAAGAAAAAGTTCATCTACTAGCACATTGACTCGACCTCCACTTCCTTCACCAAACTATGAAACCACTTTAGTTTCGGCTCCCATCCCCCTTCCATACACTCCAACCATAGTTCTGAATTCTCTGGCCACTCTGAGTCTAATGCAAGTGTTTATGGCTTGCTTTCATTGTAAATTTAGTACCTTTTACTGAAATTTAGATACATTAATTTTTAATTCAGAACCATTTTTACCTTGTAACTTGTTTGGAGAACAGATTTTGTTTTTAAGAATTTCAAAAAGTTAGGATTAATAATTTTTTTCTACTGCCGTCTGTAAAATACCTAATCACGCACCGATCTAGCGTGCGGAAAGCGCCGGTTAACCACGTCAGTTTCGTTTGCCACGAATCCGAAGCACTTCGGACATTTCCGGAATTTTACCGCACGGGTTTGGGAGCCATCGGATGTTTTCGGAGATATTTCACACGCTTTGAATTTTGGCGTTTGTCAATTCTGACAGACATGTCAGTGAATGTACTCGTGTTTTGCAAAAATGTACCCAAAAACTAACGGTGGTAGAAAAAGTATAGTATGCAACATGTTCGGTAAACTTTTTAACTCACTCGTTTATTAAACACTCGCTCCGCTCGTGTCAAATAAACTAGTGAGTCAAATGCCGTTTACCGCACTTGCTGCATAATATACTATTTTGTGTTTTAATTCTTCCACTAACGCTTGGCAGACATCTGGAATTATAACACTTATGGATAGTTTGGAAATTTTGAAAAGATACTGTAAACTGCTATACGAATCCCCAGTTGCCAAAACCGTAATGTCACTGCCAATCTATCTTGTACTGAGATAGCCATTCTCATATTCCACTAACTGACCGAAATTTTAAATCACCCACTAAACTTTGTTGATCCCTTTTCGAAAGATAACGCATTTGCCACCAGCGCCTTTGTCTTTCCTTCTTATTTTTTAAATCAAAATGCATGTAAATCTATGCCGCAGCAGCTATTTCCATATCGTAGTGTTTACTTCCGGACGTCAAAAACAAACTGAAATTACAAACCGCTCTCCTAAATATTGTTTCAGTTCGATCGTCCATAGATTTCGAGTGTATAGTAACTCAAGCAATCACTCAAGCAAAGTGGGTGCACAACAACACTGGTATTCTGGAAATAGGAGAGTATAGGTTCACATACGGTTACAAAACAAAAGCAGAGGTGACCAAAATGTGGAATATGTCGTTAAAATAAACACCGGATTCGTTGCTAAGTGTTCTCTAATGTTTAAATATAAAATGTAATGGTGAAAAACGGAAAATAACACTTAATTCACAAAAAAACTTCAAAAGTGACACATAACAGTTGTCAAACGTTCAAAAGTCAATCTAGCGTCGCGTTCCCAGTTTTTTTTGTTCACGTAGCACTCCGTCACGAAGATACTGTTTTTTAACATCTGACCATGTTACATAACCTAGCATATTCCAAGCAAAATTTTATTGCATCTGACACGCTGACTAGCGCTGCGACCATAGCTTCGCTCACCATAAAAAATAAATATTCACTACAAGATTCGTGTGGGACATCGAAGCGCCGATCTTGAGGCTAAAATCTTACCCATGGCACCAAGGTCAAAGCAGAGCATAGTATTTTTTGGACTCTTGACTAGTGTACGTCGCGTTTTGTTTAGTTTTGCTCTACAATTGTTTAAAATATAATCATCTGTTTCTGTCTAAAGTTTCTTGTTCAGTTTCTCGTAAAGTTTTTTGTTCAAGGCATGTATCTTCATATATCATATATGAGAATATTCGCTACAGTGCCTCTGAGCTTACTCAGAGACTTGCAATCTGTATTATTTCTCTACAAGTTAGTTCATTACGCAATCGATTGCCCGTTTTTTCTGGAACAATTGCGTTTCCAGGTGCCGCGTCTGGAAGGAGGACATCAGTTTCTTAGCGCAGTTACCCAAATCCAATATCCATCTTCAAAACTCTATTTGCAATAGGTTTTTTGACTTCAACAAATTATCATCGTAATATCTAATTAGCTGATCCAGAAATCGTTTCACAAGCTTCGGATTCTCTACTGTAATAAAGATATTCTGGACACAGCAATTAAGCTAAAACTTACCGATTACTTAATTCTCTCCGCAATTTCATACTGTATGGTAGTTTACTGGCCTGCCCTACTTCAAAAGGACAAGGTTAGTCTTCAGCGTCTTCAGAATGCCTGTCTCAGATTCTCATACAATATTCGTAAATTTGATCATGTATCTACTAGCCTAGAGGATTCTCGCTGGCTAACATTA